TGATTTTTAACAGCTACAGCCAATAAAGCCCTGACTGTAGTCATTTTAACAACAGGTGAGAAAGTTTCATGGAAGTCTATGCCTGCCTTTTGAGTGCAGCCTCGAATTACCAGTCTTGCTTTGTGTCTTTCAAGAGACCCATCAGATTTGAACTTAAGTTTATAAACCCATTTACTACTAATAGGCTTCTTCCCTTTTGGTAATTCACAGAATTCCCAAGTACCTGTTGTCTCCAGTGCTTGAAATTCAAGTGCCATAGCTTGTTGCCATGCTGGATCTGACTTTGCTTCTTCATAATTTCTTGGTTCCTGCATATTAGAAACATTGTGCAAAAAATGCTGACTATGTTGAGTTAGAGCCCCTAAACATATGTGTGATGAAGGAGTGATAGAGGTAATGGTGTGAGGACAAGGAGGGTCAGAGGAGAAAGCAGAAGGATCAGAAGTGTGATTGAGGAAGGAATGGCAAACATAATCCTGGAGATAGGCAGGAGTTTGATGGGATCTGGTGGATTTCCTTGAAACAGAAGGTGGGATAGAATGTGAAAGAGGGCTTTCTGTTGATGTAGATTGAGGTAGGATTGTGGAAGTTGGGTGAAGATTTGGGTTTGAAGACACAGTTGGACAGTAATCCTCATCAACAAAATCAGAATGATTATATGGAAATAATGGTTCTGGAGAGGTTTGTTTGTGAAATGGAAAGACATTTTCATGGAAGATCACATCTCTTGAATCCTCAACCTTGTTTGTCTTGAGGTTATATACTTTATAAGCCTTCTTTCCATATGTGTATCCTAAAAATACACAGGATGAAGCTCTTTCCTCAAATGTGTGCCTTCCTTGTTTCTGGGTAGAAACAAAACATAAACAGCCAAACACCCTCAAATGATCATAACTGGGTTTCTTTCCAAAAAGGATCTCATAAGGAGATTTTCCTTTCAAAACTTTGCTGGGGAATCTGTTAATGAGATAAGTCGCAGTCAAAACACACTCTCCCCAGAATTTAAGTGGTAATTGGGATTGGATACACAAAGCTCTTGAGGTTTCTAGAAGGTGCTTGTGTTTTCTTTCTACCACTCCATTCTGTTGTGGAGTGTCTCTTATACTTGTTTGATGAAGAATGCCCTTGGAATGAAAAAAATTGATCAAGGCAGAACACTTTCCAAGTTCTAAAGCATTGTCAGATCTTATGATTCTAACATGGGTGGAAAATTGGTTATGAATCATGTTGATGAAGGTTTGAATGATGTCTGGAGCATTGCTCTTGGCAGCAAGGAGATATGTCCAAGTTGTTCTAGAGAAATCATCCACTATGGTAAGAAAATATTGGAACCCATTGTAAGTTTTAGTGTGATAGGGTCCCCATATGTCCAGGTGTATTAGCTCAAATAAATGGTCAGAGTGGGTTTGACTGTGAGGAAAAGGTAATTTATGTTGCCTAGCTTTAGGACAAACATCACAGGAAGAAAGAAGATTGAATTCATTATCTGGAATAGAGCAAATTTGCTTGAGTTTATATACAGGTAAGTGCCCCAATCTTAGGTGCCATGTCTTAACATCAGGAATTTTACAGACTTTATTGCAACATACATCTCTAGTAACATCACTAGAATGAAAAACAGATGATGAACTATTGGTATTATCATGTTGACTCTGAGAAGATGAAAAGGAGTGCTGAACAGCAGGAGTAATGTAGAGGCCATCACATTTTTCACCAAGTTCCAGTGGCTTCCTCTGTGAAGGGCCCTGCAATGTACATTT